ACTCTCCGGTGGTTCCCCCGCAGGAGCGGCGCCATGGCAGCGGACTCGGAGGTGCTGCACTTCCAGTTCGAGCAGCAAGGGGATGCCGTGCTGCAGAAGATGAACCTCCTGCGGCAGCAGAACCTCTTCTGCGACGTCTCCATTTACATCAACGATACGGAGTTCCAGGGGCACAAGGTGATCTTCGCTGCCTGCTCCACCTTCATGCGGGATCAGTTCCTGCTCAATCAGTCCAGGCAGGTGCGGATCACCATCCTGCAGAGCGCCGAGGTGGGCAGAAAGCTCCTGCTGTCTTGTTACACTGGTGCTCTGGAAGTAAAAAAGAAGGAGCTGCTGAAATACCTCACTGCTGCCAGCTATCTCCAGATGGTTCACATCGTGGAGAAGTGTACTGAAGCTCTGTCGAAATACCTGGAGGTCGACGCTTCCATGGAGAACCAGGCTGCGGAGAGGTGTCATTCCTCAGATGCTGAACTGAGAAATGGGGATGAGGGTTTAGATAAAGACTGTGAAATAATCGAGATCTCTGAAGACAGCCCAGTGAATGTTGAATACCCTGTGAAGCAGGAGAATGGGGACATCTTGCAGCCCATAGTGCAGAGCGTGATCTCGGAAAGGAAGGACACAAAACCCTCGGAAATATCAACAGTTGAGATTGGATACAAGGATGAAGAAATCTGTATCTTCAGAATGGATTCTATGAGCGTCGCAAATGTAGATAATGATAATTTTCCTCAGCCTTGCACTTCCTCTAAAACAAATTTGTATTTTCCAGAAACCCAGCACTGCTTGATAAATTCTACAGTTGAAAGCAGAAATACAGAAATGTCAGGAAATCACTTTCAGGCTGCAGTCAATGACAATCCGGAAGGAACTTACGGTGGGACGAATGGCTTCCAAAGCGGGGATGATTCCAGCAATTCATGGCGACACCAGTGTCCAAAGTGTCCCAGGGGATTTCTGCACCTTGAGAACTACCTTAGACATCTGAAAATGCACAAACTCTTCTTGTGTTTGCAGTGTGGCAAAACGTTTACGCAGAAGAAGAACCTAAACAGACACATCCGGGGGCACATGGGCATCCGCCCCTTCCAGTGCATGGTGTGCTTGAAGACCTTCACAGCCAAAAGTACGCTCCAGGATCATCTGAACATACACAGTGGGGACAGGCCCTACAAGTGTCACTGCTGCGACATGGACTTCAAACACAAGTCTGCTCTTAAAAAGCATTTAACTTCTGTTCACGGAAGGAGTAGCAGCGAGAAACCAAACCTGGACACTATTACGACAGTTAAAATAGACTATGATTGAGAGATGGGTGGGATTGTCCACAAAAAGCTCCTGCCTAGTGAAATTCTAGATACAGATCCCTGGAGAGAAGCACAAACACATGACTGGTAGTCAAAAACATGCCTTGCAAGCAGTAAACGTGCCTGCTGCTTTAAGGTTGCTCTTGCTGTAAACGTGCAAAAAAGGTGTTTACTAGCCAAAAGCAAACTGCAAAATAGGGGAAATTATTTCATGCTTCTCTTCTGTTATTCTGGTTGCATTCTGATTTCCTCCCCCAGTTATTCTTTGCACTCCCCTGTTTCAAGGGCAGGTGCTGCCAATATTCAAGCTATTACCAATATTGTGGTGAGCTGAAGCCTAAGCCATGATGTTTGTGATCTGTAACGGCTAAGGAAAGGGGATTTTTGTATTTATCCGGTTAGTTGTTCCCACCCAGCTCATGTATCATTTACAGTGAAATCATCTTCCTTGCCCAAACTTTGCTAGATCCTTCAACAGAAAGAAGGCACATTTTCATACTGAAGTCTGTGATGCTTAAGGAAGAACCCACAGCGAACAAAAGATAATCAAGCCTTCAAATCGCCTCTTGCAAATAGAGAATGGGTAAAAGAGAAACAGTGTTGCCTTGCAGTTCATTTTCAATTGGATAGTGTCAGCAGAAGGATTGCTTTTCGTTTTATGAATGAGTTCTGAATTTTTCTGAACTCTCTTCTGACTTTTTTTCCGTCATACCCGTGTTTTGCACCTGTATTTGACTAATTCCAATTAAGATACTCCTGTTTGTTGTAAGATTTGCCTTCGTTTTTTTACAAAAGACACATACACTGGTATGTAAAAATTAAGCAGTGTGCTGTTACGTAATAGCAATTTCTACATTACTTTTGAAAAACAATCCTGTATATCTCATTAGGAATGGCTTAGACATAGAGGTCTTCTCATACTCTAACTCTGTGATGCAGTAAAATGGTAACGGTGCGTGTTTGGATAGGTGTGTTTGTACTTTGTCAAAGGTCATTGCAGTTGTATCACCAGCATCCAAAGCCATATAATGCAGAATTCTTCATCCTGCACCTGTCTTTGACTGGTATATGTTTCTTCCACTTAATGTGATATGAATAAAGAGTCAATTCAGTTAATATGAGATAATGGTACTTACGTTAGATGCTCTCCAACTAAGAAGCAGTAGTATGTAATCTTGTATCACAAGGGTACCTGTTCCTTCGAGCGTTCCTTCCTGTTTCAGAAGGGTGGTTGTGAAGTTCTTGCTCTGAATACAGAAGTCATAACCGAGCTGTTTGTAAAATCCAAGATAATAGTTTTCAATGTCAGTTTACAGGTTTTAGTTACTTTCTTCCCCTGTGTCTGTGAGTGCACCAGTTGTTTTGGGGTTTGTCAGTTATGTGAGGGGTTCGGTGTGTACCATGCGCCTCCTGTTACGATGTGTGACAGGCACACTCAGCTGCGCCAGCCCTACTACTGTTTTTATCTCTTGGAAATGCCAGCTGAAGAGTTTTAAAGGATGTGTTTCATGAGAGTTTTCTTAAGCATTTCATCTGGTATTATTAACACTTAACGTACGTATTAGTTGGGCTGCAGCAGTATTTGCAGGCCCCAGTTCATAGCAGGCCTTGCTGTGGTAGGCAGCATGTATCTTCCTCAAAACCCAGGTTGTCTGAATAGGAAAGTCCTGTGTGTTAGGCTCCAAAAATTCACAACGGTGTCTGACTCTACATAGAGAAAATCACCTGTTGCATCCAGTACTTTAAGCAGAAGGCCCAACCTTTCACAATCTCTGCTCTTATTTAATATTAAAGGCTGATCATTTGCTTTACTTCAGTGATTTTCAACTATAGGAATTGTCATGACAATTAAAAGGTTTGGGAGTCATTTACAGTGCGACCGCCTGGCATTTTGCAAACTAAAATGCATTTTGTAGCACTGTCTTCTGGTTGCATTTATGAGTCTGTCACTACTTAGAGCCTTTTGACCCTGTGGTTAATATTTCCTTGCTTTTCGCAGAATACATTAGTTTTTGCTTCCTAATTGCATAAAAATTATGTCTGATTTTCAAAGCATGCTAAGACCTAGACTTGCTTTTGCTATATTTACAAGGGCAAATATATTATTATATAAACATTATATTATAACTTGGTTATAGCTACAGGTTTGGATGTAGCTTTTCATTTGTGTCTGCAGACTTAGTTACTTAAAATAAACTCCTTCATCCTTGGAAGAGGTCATAAAACAAGGAAAAAAGTAAACTTCCCTCCCCCCATCCTTTTTACATTGGGCTTCTATTACTGTAGTTCAGTAAATACAAACACATTGTGCATTAATGGGACAGATTTGGTTCAACTGTGCTGAAATCTGTTCAGTTAATACTTATTTTTGGCAGGTGTATGATTATCATTAGTAACAGTTCAAAAGATCACACCTTGGTTTTTGTTTGGCTGGTTTTGATAAGCACGCGCATGGGTATTTCCATGGGTATTGCCATTTGCTTGGACAATGGGTATTGTCCAAGGGGGAAATGGGCTGATCTTTTGAAGTGCATCTTCTGTGGGAGCAGGAACACGCATTGTTTTGGTCTGCTGTTGTATTGCATGTAAACACGAGAGAGTTGTGTTGTGCGGTGGGCCAACAGCATGTTCTGTTCAGTGGCTCGAGTGTCTTGGTGAGCTTTGTGAACAAAACCCCAGTTTGTGCACATGTTCCCATTAAAGGTGTTTCCTTTCTCCTGTCCATACATGTAACCATTCATCCTGTCATAATACAATAAACGAAATACAAACAAGACGCCGTTTCAGAAATACATATGCTTTCTTCTAATCACAGCTAAATAATTATCTGCATACCTTAGTGTTTAGAATTTTGTTTGCTGTGGCGAGTTGTAAACAAAATACGTTGTTCAAGTCACAGTCGTTTAGTAACATGTTTTTCTGTCCTTCAGAAGAGTCAGTCTGACCTATTTCTTCTCACAGAACGCTTGCTCCTCAGCAATCACAACTCTGCACTACCTCAGCTCGGGTTAACGACACTGGTTTGAGCTTGGTGAGTGAGCAGAGGAACGAGGTGCTTGCTCCTGTGGTAAAGCACCAACCCGGGCGCTTTCCCTCATGCTGGCCCTGAGGTGGCCTCACGCTTTGGGCGGCACCAGGACACGCGATGTGCGCCAGATACGCCCTCCAAGCCCCTCATCCCTCTTAGCACTAATAATAATTAAGCTATTAATTCACGTTTAAGATAAACGACCG